CGTAGATCTGCATCCATGGACAATACAAAGTGTTACTTCGTTTAGTTTCTATTAAATTTATATAGGTAGCATCATATTGCACACAGGCTGCAACTTGCTTTTCTCGCATGGAATTTTGGTTAGACTTTTTTTAGGAAACTTTTCCTTAATCTAAAAAGTTGATTCAAGTAAAAGAGTATATCTAATGCATAAGTAAGTCATGAAGACTAGCAATAAAACAGATACTTCCAAATCCACCACACAAACTGAGAAGTAGAATATCATGAGATTCATTGTGGCTGCTGTCTGCTGCGTCTCCTGTCTCAGAATCCAATCTCCTCAACTCTACTCATTGCTCTTCTTGCGTTTTTTTAAATAGGTCACCGCATATGGATGTGTTTTTCAACAGTGTGTTTTCTGGTTTGCATGGTTTTCTGCATTATGGTAGTAGTAATATACTATATATTTTTTCAGACTTGCGTTTTATTTAGTAATTGATCCATATAAATTTTATTTAGTAATTGATCCATATAAATTTTATTTAGTAATTGATCCATATAAATTTTATTTAGTAATTGATCCATATATAAATTTTCTACTGCTTTATGGTGTTTCCTTAGGGTGAATATATATATCATTTTTGCATTTTACCATCAGTGGTACAATTATAAACAGTACTGCCCTGAACATTCATATATATATATATATATATCACTTTATATACATGCACAAGAATTATTCAGGAGGGCAGTTGCTAATTTTAGAGTAGGAGTGCAAGGTTAGGGTAGAAGTAAAAGTTCATGAAAAACTGGAATCAAGATTAATGACATTTTTCCATGAACTTTTTGAAGTCCTCTGTTAGTATATTCAGGGAATGTGGTGACTCCATATAAAAAGCACTGGACTAGAAACCTCAGTGACCATAGTTTGAGCCCACCAGCCACTCTGTGGGTGAAAGATGAGGCTTTCTGCTCCTGTCAAGATTGTAAAACCTGTACATTGTCCCTATGAGTTGGAACCAACTTGAAAGCACTTAACAACAACCTGAGCGTAGTATATTCAACCCACACACTTAATCAAATTGATTGGTACAATGTACACTACAGTCAACAATGTGTATGTTTGTTGTTGTTGCTGTTAGGTGCCATCAAGTTGGTACTGGTTCAAAGTGACCATATGCACAACAGAACGAAACACTGCCCAGTCCTGGGCTAACTTTACAATTGTTGCCACGCTTGAGCCCATTGATGCTGCCACTTTGCCATTCCATCTCGCTGGGGGTCTTCCTCTTTTTCTCTGACCCTCCACCTTACCA